TAAGCCCGAAATGCTATACCTGAAATCCAGAACCTCAAACACCTGCGTCGTGAGTTCGGTGCCAAGGTTGCGACCATTGACGTGACCCTGCGATTTCGATACAGCTCCGAGGACGGAGGGTCTGGGTTTAGGGTTTAGGATTTAGGGTTTAGGGTTTAGGGTAGTTTAGGGCCTTAGAGTTTCGGGCTTAGGGTTTGTAGGGCTTAGAGTTGGTTTCAGGAGGGATTTCTGAGGTCTTGTCGGTTTTTTTGTTGGGCGTTTAGAGGTCCAACAGGATCCAAGGCCAAAAACTAGGGTTTAGGGTTTAGGGTTTAGGGTTTAGGGTTTAGTGACAAGACGAATGTCGAGTAGGACAGCCGCTTCTAACCCTGAGGCTGAGGGTCCAAGTACCTAGTAATCGCCTTACCAACCACCCAAAACCCCAAGCCCCAAAAACCCTAAGCCCCAAGCCCATGAACGAACTATTTGGGTTATTGTGACCCCCAAGTCCTAAACCCCAAACCCAAACCCTAAACCCCAAACCGCAAACCCTAAACCCCTGAGACTCTGAGGGCATCGCCTGCGTTTCTGAGTTCAGAGGCTGCTCAGCGGATTTCCAGATACCCTAAACCCTAAACCCTAAACCCTAAATCCTAAAACCCTAAAGCCCTAAACCCTAAACCCTAAACCCTAAGCCCTAAACCCTAAACCCTAAACTCTCCGAACGACATCGCGGTTCGGGGTTGCGGGGGATCTTTGAACCGAGTCTTAAGCTCCCCGTGGGGCCAGATGGTATTAGAGTTTAGGGTTTAGGGTTTAGGGTTTAGGGTTTAGGGTTTAGGGTTTAGGGTAAAGTTTACGGTCGAGGGTTAGGGTTTAGGATCTTAGGGTTCTGGGTAGTAGTAGCAGCCAGAGGAAGTAGTCCTCCTTCATAGGGCTTAGGGTTTAGGGTTTTGGTTTAGGGTTTAGGGTTTAGGGTTTACTACCTCCATTAATGCCGGGCAGCAGAGCAAACCTGTAAGAAGAATGATGCACGACATCAAACAACCAAAAGTGTCCGACGAGATTGGCTGCGAAACATAGACAATTCTTTAATCTAGCTATTTCCAGCTGTCGGATCGAATCACAAACTGTGCGTTGTGCCCTGAATCCTGAACTCCATCTCGATGTACGGGCGACCCTGCCCCAGTCGGCCCCAAACAGACCAAAAGCCTGGCTTCAGTTGCGGATGCTTCCTCGCGGTGCACGGCTTCGGCTGATGGATCAGGCTCTACCCTAAACCCTAAACCCTAAACCCTAAACCGTTTTGCCGGGTGGTGTTCATTCACACTCAGCTCTACAAGCCAACGTTGGGCCCCAAGCCCCTACGCGTGTCACTCCAACTGCCTGTGCGGCTTCAACGACTTCCGCGACCATTCAAAATACCATTACTAATGGTGCTGCTTCTGCTACCTGTACTGCAGCTGCTGCTACACCAGCAACAACAAAAAACGACGACTACCCCTTTTACGACTGCGACCTGCGACTACATTCACGACTACGACTACGACTACGACTACCACAACCACAAACAGCCACCACCACCACCATCACCACCACCACCACCGCCACCACGACTACTAGCACTACTATGACTATTGCTACCATCCCTACAACTAGTCCTACTACTAGTACTAGTGCTACTACTGCTACAAGTACTGCTGCTGGTACTTCTACTACTGCTGCTGCTGCTACTACTACTACTACTACTACTACTACTGCTCCTGCCACTGCCACTGCCACTGCAACTGCCACTGCCACTGCCACTGCCACTGCCACTACGACGACTACTACTGCTACTACCACTTCTTCTTCTACTCCTCTTATTATTCTTCCTCTACTTCTACTGAAGCTTCTACTTCAACTTCTTCTAGTTCTACTTCTACTTTTACTTCTACTACTACTGTCACTACTGCCACTCCTGCTACTACTGTTATCACTGCTACCACTGCTACTACTGCTACTACTACTGCAACTACTGCTACTACTGCTATCATTGCTACCACTGCTACACATGCTACAAATGCTACTACTGCTTCTCCTACTCCTGCTCCTCCTTCCAATCCTGCTCTTACTCCGTCTCCTATTCCTACTCACTCCCTCTCCTGCTGCTAGCTACTGCTCGTCTTGCGGCTACTGCTCCTGCACCGGCTATTGCCACTGCTACGGCGACTACTGCTCCTTTTCCTTCGCCTCATCTCTCGCCGGCTGCCTGCTTAATCGCACTTATACTGCTTTCTGTTGTTGCGTCCGTCGCATGTATTTTTCTGTACGAAGATGACGTTGGTCAGGACTTTCCGAGTTCGCGGTTTAAGTCCAATGACTAGTGGTGCGCGGACAGCAATCCTGCGATAGCTCGCTGAAGCTGCTGATCACTTGTTTGCCTCGCGCTTTGGAAGAGTCTTTTACCGAAATGCTTCCATGGGTACTCGCAACCATGCTTCTTAGTTCTGACTTATCCATGCTCTCGATGGTTCATTGCAAAAATCAGTTGTGATCTGTGTTGATGAGGAGGCTCACCATCAGTAGCATTCTTGTTTCGAACCGTGCATACTTCTACCAGTACAATCTTCGTACAGCTCCAGCCCTGTCGCCCCACCTCCACCAATCTTAAGGCCACTACCCTAAACCCTAAATCCAAATCTACCCTAAACCCTAAACCCTAAACCTTACCCTCAACCCTAAACCCAAATCTCTTACAAATAACGAAGCTAATCGTGAAAGCTAGTCTTCAGTCCCCGCACGGACCCGAAAGGTAGCTTAGGGTTTAGCGTTTAGGGCTAAAGGTGGTTTAGGGTTTAGGGTTAAGGGTAGTTTAGGTTTTAGGGTTTACCAGTTTAACCCTATCGGGCAGTGAAGTGCTTTCCATGCTATTGCATGTGCACATACATGTCACGACAATATCTATACCTCTACCCAATTTCAGTCATAGCAGCATGTGTAGAGCTCATATAAGTGGATGTATTTATACATATCTGTATATATATACGGACACACATAGGCACATAAACACACATGCACATGCACACCCCCACACACAGATATGTATATATATATATGCATGCATACATACATACATGCATACATACATACTTGCATGCATACATGCATACATACAAAAATAAGTACATACATACTTACATACATACATACATACATACATACATACATACATACATACATATAGACACATACATAGGTACATACAGACATACAGACACACACACACACGCATACACACATACATACGTATATACATGCATACATACATGCATGCATGCATACATGCATACACACATGCATACATACTTACAAGAATACATACACACATACATACATATATACATGCCTGTGTATATACCTACGTGCCTATGTACCTACATACACACATACATACATACATACATACATACATACATACATACATACATACATACCTATGTACCTACATACCTACATACATACATACGTACGTACATACAAATACACACGCATATGCATAGGTATACATATACCATGACGTACATACATACACACTGTTAGTTATGTTGCGGCCAGCATGTCTTTGGCCATAAGACTCGCGGAGTGTTTCGGCCTCCGGCCGGATTGCAGCCCAGCAGTTCGTCACCAAGCTCCCCGGATGGAAAACCCCAAACAGCCTGGACCCCCCAACTATTAGGGTTTAGGGTTTAGGGTCTAGGGTGTAGGGCTACTATATCCTAAACCCTAAACCCTAAACCCTAAACCCTAAGGACCATCAGGCCTCTATTAAAGGGCACTTGGCGGGTCCTGGAGAACCTAGCACTTGAGTCCTCGGGGCCTTTGGACAAGGGTCCCATGACTAACATATTACTGTGGTTTAGGGTTTGGGGGTTCCAAGGCCAGCCATAGACTTTGATTTTGAGTATAAGTATAGGGTGCTGTTCTTGGGGATTTGGGGTTACGAAAGTAAATGGGGACTAGGTTTCAGGCTATGGGCTTGTGCTGTGGGACTTGGGGTTTACATTCTGTTTCGAGCTCACGGCCTAGCGCTCCGGAGTTTGGCATTTATGGGGCTGAGGCTCGGCTTTAGGTAGACCCCAAGCCCTAAACTCGGAAGCGCCACACCCTGAAGCCTCACCCTAAGGGTCCAAGTACCTAATAATCATATACCCTCCCAAATAGCAACCTACATAACTACTACCCTAAACCCTAAACCCTAAACCCTAAACCCTAAACCCTAAACCCTATGGACCCTGAAGCCTCACGCTCTATCCCCGAATCGTTGTTTCGGTCTTGGAAGATGAGCTCGATTGGGTTTTCAGTTCTGTAGAGAGTTTAGGGTTTAGGGTTTAGGGTTTAGGGTTTAGGGTTTAGTTTTAGGGGTTTTGGTTTTAGGGTTTAGGGTTCGGGACTACGGGGAATCATGATGTGACGGTTTAGGATAGACTCCTTGATCGGGGTCTTCATATTTGGCTCTATGGAAATATTTTTGGCTGTTCAGGTTCTGTGTCATCGTATCAACGGTTCCTGCTGTGGCCCTGCCAAACCCAAACCCAACTCCATAGCCCTGGGGCGTGCTATTTGTGTTTAGTGCGACGTATATCCGTCAATTGAGAGCTTGTCTGAACAAAACCCTTGCAAACCCCAAACGCTAAACCATAACCCCCCCGCCCCAAAAAAAAAACTAAAACTAAAACTAAACCCTAAACCCCCAAAGCCTCAGCCCTCAACCCCCCAAAAAAAACACGCCATCCCCAGATTCATTATCCGAACCTTCGGGATCTGTTAGAGCAATCATATAAGGAGCCCTTTGAAGCCACAAAAAGAAAACCCAAAGAACTCCCAAGCCCAAGACCCGAGAAACCCGTAAAGAACTCCCTAAACCTTAAACCCAACACGCTACCCATAGGACCCATAGCAGTTCGTTTTTGGGGGCTCATATTTAGAATCCTATAAGGTAATCCCAAAAAGGAACTACTATGGGGCCTATGGGTATTCAGGTCAGACTCGAGGTCGTTTTGGGCTGCTTGCCGCTGGCATGCTTCTTTCTTCTAATCTTCGGCGCGAGTCTCTTGGATCTTCGAGGTTAAGGAGTTCAGGGACGAAATTAGGGTGTAGGCTTCAGGGGAATCCTTGAAGTAGAAGGGTTTGGGCTTTTTGGGTGTAGGCTTTAGGGTTGCCTTTTTCGCGTTTTGTTTCCATGGCACATCTAGCAGAGGCTAGGATTAAAGATTCAGGGCTTAGGGTTCGGGGACCCGCACTGAAATTTATCGTGTGAATCAAGAGGTCGCGCATCGCTGGGACTTCGAGCCATTTTCCTGGCGAATGCCATGGCCGCCGTGCTGTTGATCATTGTCGGCTTCTGGCTATTTCGGGTAAACTCCTTGCTCGCCATGGCACACTTCTTGGAAGACCCTTCGCGCAGCAATTCGATGCTAGTTGCTTCTAGGTAGGCCTTTGGGACATTTTCCCTTATTGAGCTTAAGACGATCTTATTTACGAATATTTTTCAGAGGCTTTGAGGGGCCAACCTAGGCTTTTTCCTGGGTCCCAGTGCTCGCAGTCTCATCACCCATCCTGCTTCTCGGCACATCCCAAGACGTGACCAACACCCTGCTCACACAAGTGCTTGGCTTCTACTCTATGTATGTGCCACTGCTGGACGAGCCAGGGGAACTGCTGCAGCTCTGGACGTGCTACTGGGTTGCGGTTAAGGAACCTAAACTAAGTTACTATAATAAGGAAGCCCTATTAGTTATGTATTTTATATCCCCGTTATGGTAACTTAAACTAAGTTCCTTGACCGCAACCCAGGCTACTGTGCTCTGGCAGTTGCGAGGCTCTTTCAGCTCAGTATGCGGGCCGATGCTAGGTTCCTCAGAAGTGCCCTTTTGTTTTTTTTGGGGGTTCCCGTGTTACCACGGAATGCTAGGATTGTTAAGGGGCTACTTTAGAGGCCCCAATAATTAGAATAGGGTTTTGGGGCCCATTATACTGTAGTTATAATAAGGAACCCCCCCAAAAAAAATAATGTAATGTAATTATGAAGGCCCCTATGTTACCGGCAAGCCTAGGATGCGGTCGTCCAGATGGAAGGCCTGGCACTGGCGGGGGCTGCTGCAGCCATGGCATGCGCAAGCTATGTGCGTCTGCGACTCCGCTATCTGATGTTGACTCGCATTGAGCCTTGGGTTTAGGGTTTAGGGTATAGTTCTCCAATACCCAATCTTGAACATTTTGGGCTCTTATTGTTTAGGAATAATTCCCTAAATCCTAAGCCCTAAACCCTAGACCCAGAGCCCTAAACCCTAATTCATCTGAATTGTCAACATTTTGTTCTGTGGCCGATTTGGAAAGTAAGGAGCTCAAGCCATGCCACCTGGAAGCATATTCTGGCGCATCTCCTGAGGAGTCGGGTCAAGACAGGCAGTTTATCTTGAATCCGGATCTGAAGCTGCGACGACGGAAGTCGAGATTGCAGTTTGAAGACTATCACTGCATTCTCAAACTGTCAATAGCTCTTTTGCTGGGTTCTCTATATTGTTAATATTATTTCTTGCTTCTTTGAACAGATTGGTTTTCGGATCCAAAACCCCTAAAGCCTGAACCCTAAGCCCTTAAACCCTAAACTTCCCTGAACCTAAACCATTAAGGTATGGCTGACCCTATACACGGAGATGCCCACCGGAGGGCAACGATGATCGTTCAGCGGAGGCTCTTGGGCCAGAGTTGGAGTGTCTACATTGCCTTTGGGAGTAGGGTTTAGGGGGTTCGGGTTTACGGTTTTGGGGCTTATGGCTTGCAAGGATTAGGGTTTTTTGGGGTTTAGGGGTTTAGGGGTTTGCGGCCTGAAACAGAAGCAGCAGCAGGGTTCAAAGCAGGCCTGTCAACTCTTGAAGCCCTAGGCCTCTCACCCTAAAGCCTCAACCCTTTAAGCCCTAAGCCTCTAACCCGAAACCCTCACCCCGGGCCCCTGAACCCGCAACCCTTTAAGCCCAAGCCTCTAACCCCAAACCCTCACCTCTAAACCCTAAACCCGTACCCTTAAACCCTCTTCCTACTTGTAGCCCTCTCAGGCTTCCAATGGGGGTTCTGTAACTAGGTCTCCCAGTGGGTTTAAGGTTTAGGGTTTTTCTTCCCTTTTGTTTCCGATCTTTCTGTTTGGACTGAATAGTAGGAAAAGGGTACCTTCATTTTTGAGGAGCTACCCCAAACCCCTAAACCCTAAACCCCTAAACCCTAAACCCTAAACCCCTAAACCCTAAAGCCCTAAACCCCAAACCCCTAAACCCTAAAGCCCTGAAGACGGAGCCTCGGGGAATGGTGAGTGGTTTATGACGGGTTTAGGGTTTAGGGCTTAGGGCTTTGGGTTTAGGGGTTTAGGGGTTTAGGGCTTAGGGTTTCGGGTTTAGGGTTTAGGGTTTAGTCTTCGTCCTTTCGGGGGTTCCCTTTAAGGCTTCCTGGCTGTAAAGCTGCAGAGGCCAAGCAGACAATGATCATATACTACCGGAAAATACTGCCCTAAACCCTAAACCCCTAAACCCTAAACCCTGAGCCCTATTGTGTCATTCCCTAGACCCCAAACCCTAAACCCAAGCACCTAATTATTTGTGTCATTCAAACCCGTCGGGTCGAGATTTGTACCAGGTTTGGGTTTGGGGTTTGGGGTTTAGGGTTTAGGGTTTAGGCTTTACGGTTTAGGGTTTAGGGTTTAGGGTTTAGGGGCATCTTCATACTGGCACCAAAAGTAAACACTCACCAGCATTCGTAAGAGGCTCTGTATGCACTCACCAAAGATATCATTGACCTGCTGAATGTGCATCGCTTCTGTCGGAGTCGATCGTTTTTGGCCACCGCGCCGTTCTTCCGCCTGCAGGCAGCAGCTAAAGCAGGAGCTGTTAGGGCGCGTGGTTTGGGCGGCCCACTTTAGCGTGCAACTTGGTTTAAGGTGTGGGGTTAGGTTCAACCTCTCCAAGGAATTTATCTGTAGTAGAGAGCTTGGCAAATTGACTTCTTGTTTTTTTTCTGAGTGCGCGGGGAGGGTGGGGGAGGGGGGTTCCTCATAGTGGATCCGCTCCCAGATGTAAGTTTCATAGTGGCGTTGCTTGTGCCCAGGTTGCCATGAATGTCGTATACATAGCTATAATTAGTAAACACGTTGATCTCTTCTGCACGTTGGCGCAAGTTAATGTAGGGGCCTTAATAATTAGAATAGGGTTTGGGGGCCATTATACTGTAGTTATGCTAAGGAACCCCCAAAATAGTATAGGTAAATTATTAAGGCCCCTATGTTAATGCTTCTTCAACCCCTTTTTGGAACCCTAGGAAGCGCCTCATTATAGCAAACTGAACCTTACCTAAACCCCACGCAGTATAGATCCTAGTTTCTTAAAGGCCGTGTGGGATGCGTTGAAACTCGCTCTCAACCCCTGTGCTGTAGGGGCCTAAATAAGTACCGGGGGTTCCTTACCAGAATGATAGTATAATGGGCCCCAGAGCCCGATTCTAAATATTCAGGCCCCTCTATTAACAGGAGCTCAAATGAAGCCCAGGCAAAGACGGCTGGACTCGTCAAGCATTGCACACATCCTCTCATTCCTGGATACATCTGGGTTAGAGTCTTCCATGCATCTTGGGTTCCACGGCCGCAATTCAGGGTGTAGGTTTTCTGATTTATCGAGTTTGGGGTTCAGGATTTTAGGGGTTTACAGGGTTTCGTTTAACGCGCCTATTCACAGATGTTTGCGGCTTGTATAGGGAGAATGAGAGGACAGGTTGACTATTGTTGGTTCAGACCTCTATAGTACGTAGGTCGTCCTGTAGTACACGTAGAACTTTCAGGGTTTTGGGTTTAGGGTAGTAGGAAGAGGTCCAAAATCTAACACCCCATCGGGTCACTGAGTCACTGGGGAACCTGGCTTTAAAACCCCGTCTGAGGAAAAAACAGAAGCCATTAAGTTGGTAACTACTTCTCCTCTTGCCTTCGAAACCTTCGGAAGGCAGGGCAATTATAGTGTAGGGTTTCACGGGGTTGTTGGGGGTGCTGTGTTCTGACCACTTCTTACGTAAGTTACCCTGAACCATCCTCAACCCTAGCACCGACATAAACCGCAACAAGATGCAACAAGAAACGTACCACTTGCTGGGTAGTTCTCTAAGTTAGGGTCCCTTTTGGGATCCTTTTTTTTATAAGGGTGCCGTACTATATTTGAGACCGAAAAAGGAAGCCTCATTTAGAGAACTACCTATGTAACTTCCACCGAGCTACGGGACAAGAGAACCCAGTTTGGGGTGGAGGACCCGAAGATATGGCATAGGTTTTAGGGCTCATGGGTTTTTTTGGGGCTTATAGGGTTTCATAGGGTTGATAGGCTTGTATGCAGGGTTTATAGGGGTACCCTAAACCCTAAACCCTGAAAAATATAAACCCTTAACCCTAAGGCTTCTAGACGACCGTGCGTCGCAAGTGTCCACCATTGCGGCAAGCTCTGTGGCGCCTTCTTCGCTGTCTCTTGGAATCTCTTAGTCCAACTTTTAGGGTTTAGGGCTTAGGGTATACACTATTCTAAGGCCCCTACATTACCCAGATAGTATATGCTTTGGCCTTAAGGGGTCCTTATGTAGCTACTGTAGGGCCCATGTATATACCGGGGTTTGGGGGGCAGCGCCGTCCAACCGTAGAGCTTAAGTCCTAGACCCTAAACTCCCACACCATAGAAACATAAAGCGCTAAACCCTAAGCCCCCAAACCCTTACACCCCTGAGCCCAAACCCACGACCCCTCAACACCTACCTGTTTAGTTGTTTGTTGTTTTATGAGTTCTTAGCACATGTCCTTCGAAGACTCGAAACAGACAAGAGTGGTCAAGCTATGCCTTGGATTATAAACGAAGTTTAAGCTTGATTGAGGGGTTTTGGAGCTTGTTGGGACTCGTGGGTAGCACCGCCTAACTGTGAACCATAAAACCCTAAACCCCTAAACCCCTAACCGCTAAATCTCTAAACCCCAAGCCCCTAAACCTCTAAGCCATCCCTTCGAAACCTCAACCCTCGACCCTGACACTTGAACCTCGAGATCAGATATGGGTAGTTCTCTAAAATAGGGTCCCTTTTAGGGTCCTTTTTGTTATTGGGGACCCAAAACAAGACTTAAATTTTTTGGAACTACCAATATTTGTCCGCCTAAACCCTAAACCCCCGAGATCGGATATCTGTCCGCAAGAAGGTCGTCTGTAGCATTTCTCCGAGCAGCTCTTCCGCGCCGACTCCAGCATCTGCTGGCTCTGACGTCACCTTGCCCTCCAACATCTGACGGGAGCCTTGGCTTGGGGTTCAGGCTGTCGGCTTTACGGCTTAGGGTTTAGGGTTTAGGGTTTAGGGTTTAGGGTTTAGGGTTTAGAGGACTCTTTTGAGTTTCGGGACCCTAAACCCTATAATTAAGCCCTAAGCCCGTTTAGGGCTTACCTGCGTTTTCAGTATTTGCCATTAGGTTTTAGGCTTTAGGGCTTTTAGGGTTTAGGGCTTTTAGGGTTTAGGGTTTAGGTCTAGGGTTTTAGAGTTTAGGGTTTAGGGTCAACAACTAGAAGCTCCCAGCAATTGGAGCTAACAGGTTGCGTTTGGGCCTTGCGTCCTGTTTGAGGTTCCTCGAAGTTAGACCCCAGGCCCTAAGCCCACTAATCCTTGAAGCTAGACCCTAAATCCTAAACCTTACACCCCTTAAGCCCTGAAGTTAGACCCCAAACCTGAACCCTGCACCCCTTAAGCCCTGAAGTTAGACCCCAAAACCTAAACCCTTCACCCCATTAAGCCCTTAACCCCTCAAGCTCAAACCTCTTAGCCCCGAACCTCGGAAGATTCAAGCCCGCACCCTGAACCCTAAGCCCATACATAGCCCAAACCCTACACACATAGGCCCCATAGTAGTTCCGTTTTGGGGTTCATATCTAGAATCCTATAAGGTACTTCCAAAAAGGAACTACTATGGGGCCTATAATATACACCAAACCCAAACCCTAAACCCCAAACTCTGAACACTACTAAACCCTAAACCCTAAACCCTAGACCCCAAAACCCTAAACCCTAAACCCTAAACCCTAAACCCCAAAACATTAAACCCTAAACCCTATTTGGGGAAGTAAGGAGCGCCGAGCCCCACTCGCAACTACAAGAGACAGAGGAGGACCCACCAGCTGCGCAGGCTCGTCGAGACTTGAGGCTTTCAGGGCTCCTTTAGGGTAGGATTTAGGGTTTAGGGTTTAGGGTTCAGGGTTTAGGGTTCAGGGTTTAGGGTTTAGGGTTTAGGGTTTAGGTTTATAGGGTCTTGGGGGTACTTTTTTTGGGCTGACGGTTTACACTCCGTCAGGGTTTGAGGTTTAGGTTGGGGTGCTGCTGTCCCACAACAGCGGCTGCTGCACTGCTTCTGTTCCTTTCAATAACTGGTGATGCTATTCCCTCATGCACACCGCTTTGCATACGCCTTCGAAGACTGGTATAGTATATGGGGGTTTCCGAAAATTAGGGGTACCTTATTTTAGGGTCCTCATAATAAGGATCCTACTATTTATGGTGCTATAGTAGGGTCCCCTGTTTTCCGAAACCCCCATATTGCTCCTTAGCCAAATGCGATCAACCACATCGCATCAACCAAAGCGACATCTAGCAATCTGCGGCGGCTAGTTATTTGCTTCCCCAACCTTTGAATTACTGGTCTGCCAAACTCGAGAAGCGTAAACCTAGAGTTTAGGATTTAACGTAGGGGCCTAGATAATTGCCATTAATGTTGGGGGGGTGCCTATGATTTGTTTTAGTATACTTGGCCCCAAAACCCCGTTTCAATATGTGGTTTAGGATTCCTATTGATTACTGCACATGGGAGCCCATAATTACAAAAGGATCCTGTACCATTGCTAACAAGGACCAGGCAAGCCCTAAGCTCTAGACCTTGTTGGGAGGTACTAGCTATGCTGGGGCCCGTACAATAAAATCCTTGAACCCTACGTAAACCCTGAACCCTAAAACCTAAACGAAAAATCCGAACAATCCGACCACCAGGTAAACCCTAAACCCTATAAGCCCTAAGCCCTACTCCAGGTACCCTGGCTGGCCTTCGTCCTTCTTTGGTCAGCCATTGGAGTGGCAGTGCCTAGGTTCTTCAGAAGCACCCTTTTTTCATTATTTTACTTAAGGTCCCCTTATTGAAACTGAACACTAGGAAAAAGGGCGCCCTTATTTTTAAGGGGCTACTGAGAAGCCTAGGTGCTGGCTGAACACGTCAGGAATCGTTGAGAGACGTTTCTCGCATAGAGGTCCTTTGACAAAAGGGCTCAGGGTTGCACTTTTAGGCTTTAGGGATTTTAGGATTTAGGGATTTCAGGGTTAAGGGTTTAGGGCTTAGGGTCTATGGTTTAGGGTTTGAGGTTTGGGCGATGGGTTTGTTGTGATTCAGCGAGAGATACTTCAGAGCTCGTTAGAGCCATTTCTGGAATGTAGGGCCATGTCTCTTTTCCTCAAGACGGACCCGTGGAGCGGGACTTCCTTGAGAGTTCGGAGCTACTCGTTTCCGAGGCTCATATCCGCCCTGGAGCCGCGCAAAGCAGTGTCTTCGGGGGGTTGTGGTTCTAAACCCTAAACCCTAAACCTTAAACCTTAAACCCTAAACCCTAAGCCCCCTTGGAGCCTTGCGATGTCTCTTGAGTTTTCCAGCGCGATGCCGGCAAAGGGCCCGCGTGCACAGAGAGGCAGTTCGCAGTAGTTTGATGCGCCCGAACCGCTCGAACAGTTTGCAAAAACTGCAACTTCAGCTAATGTAGGGGCCTTAAGAACTAGAATAGGGTTTGGGGGTCCTTGATAGTATAATTATAAGTATAATAAGGAAACCTAAGGAATAGTATTGGTAATCAATTAGGCCCCCCACATTACTCAAGACGAGTAGAGAGAGCTCCTTTCCCCCTTATAGTTCAAGAAGCTACGTTTCATCACAGGGCCTGCTGGCTGGAAGCTCAGGTTTTCGTGCATGGAGCACTTCTGCCCTTGATCTGAACCCTGTTTAGGGTTTGGGGTTTAGGGTGGGCACAGCTTCCGGAAAGGGGGGGGGACCATGAACAGCAATAACTTATTCTTCATTGATTTATGGGATGTTTCATGTTTTGTTAGTCCTCAAGCTTTGCACGGCACGAAGAGCCTCCTTTGCAAGGACACCCTTCAAGAACATTGCTTGAAATCCTGAACCTTAAACCTGCAACCGTCTGGAGCCTTTTGGAACTCAGGATTGCGGGTTTCGGTCTCAAGCAAGCCTTCGGGTTTAGGGTTCAGAATTTTTTAAGGTTTAGGGCAAACCTGCGACATGAATTCTATCAAGACCGCACTTCCTTTCAGGGATAACCGTCATTCTGTTCCTTCTTGCCGGCGTCTTGCTGAAGACAGTAGGCAAGTAGCACCATGATATCCCCGAACTCGTGTCTGTGTCTAATGAAAGCATGTCATCTGTCATGATGACGAGCACCGCTGTGCAGAGCTCACAGACACCTTGAACTACCATAGTCTTCTCTTTCGTAGTCGGCATACCTTGGTAACCAGGGCTTTCATTTAGGGTTTAGGGTTTAGGGTTTAGGGTTTAGGGTTTCGGGTTTAGGGTTTAGGGTTTAGGGTTTAGGGTTTAGGGTTAGTACCCGAATGCAGGCCGCATGGACGCCTGAAGCACTCTTTCCCTACGGCTCACTATTACAACTTACTCTGCCCAACCGACTTTCTCATTTTCCTAAACCCAAAACCCTAAAAACCCTACGTTTCCTAAGCCCTAAACCCTACAGGCCCTAGGGCTCCGTGTTGGAACTTAATAATATAGGGGCTGTAACAATTAGAATAGGATTTGGGGTCCCAGAATATTAAAATTATAATAAGAAGCCCCAAAAAGATTATAGGCAATTATTAAGGCCCCGACATGATGCCCAAACCCTTTTCTCATGTTAAGGCCTTTTTATTCAATTTAACCGAAACCCTAAACCCTAAACTCTAAACCCTAAACCCTAAACCCTAAACTCTAAACCCTAAACCCTAAACCCTTGAACCGATGCAGGAGGGCCTCGTCACCTCTGCAGAGATACCCGGTACCAAGAAGGTCTTCTGGCCGACACGGTTCGAAGGTTAGGGTTTAGGGTTTATAGGATTTAGGGTTTAGGGTTTAGGATTTAGGGTTTAGGGTTTAGGGTTTAGGGTTTAGGGCTAAGGTTAGAAGTATGGGCCCCAAATATGGATCCTTAAGCTTTTCTAGGGGCCCTTAAGGGTGCGTGTGGGGTATACATCAGGCGTAGAAGGGTTAGGGGCCCATACCAGGGGCCCATGGGTTCAACCCTAGCATGGTGTGCCTGTCCTTCAGACGCTACACCTTGAAACCCTAAACCCTAAACCCTAAACCCTAAACCTAAACCCTAAACCCTAAACAGCCTTTCGGCTTGGGATGTAGGGAAGGGAACCCTAGGCCCCCAAACTCTAAGCTCTAAACCCTAATCTCTAAGTCTTAAGCTGTAAGCCTTTTTGCCCTAAACCCTAAACTTTACCTAAACTCGACAAACCCTAAACCCTATAGGCCTTAAGCTCAAAATGCTAAACCCTAAGCCCTAAACCTAAAACTCTGCACCCTACTCTGAGAATTCAGAATGCCCCAAAAGCCTGGGAGCGACAGCCTTCGTTTCTGAGTCCTTTGGGTTCAGGGTTTAGGTTTTCAGTCTTTCGGGTTCAGGGTTTAGGGTTCAGCGTTTGAGTCTTGAGTCTTTAGGGTTCAGGGTTCATGTTTTAAGGGTTTCGAGTCCCTTATAAAAGCCTCTGGGCTAGACTTGAACCCTGTCGCCCTAAACCGGAGTTTCACTGAAGGAGCCCAATATGTGCCAAGGGAAGGCGTGGTTCAATCACTCTATGCTGCCCAGAAAGCCCGACTCCTCGTAGATCCCCACGGTTTAGGGTTTGGGGGGTTTAGGGTTGTTTAGGGTTGTTGTCCAAGTACTTTGTGTTCTGTGGGCGTGCTTATGCATAGGCTACCCTAAACCCTTAACCCCGAAACCCTCAACCTCAAACCCTAAACCCTAAACTTTACTGACTGCCGCCGCAAGTGTTCACGTCGTCGGGGCAAGGTCCAAATAATCCAGCTCGGCATGCTAACTGTAGGGGCCATACTCTTGTGGTGGTTCCTTATTATTCAGGCCCCTATATTGGTCCCAACGGTCCCAAACAGAATCCCGGAGGCGAGGTTTTAGGCTTTAGGGTTTAGAGAAGTGCAGACTTGGACCGGAGAGAAGTGTGAACTCAACGAACCCTTCTGCGCCTTGGAGTAGGGAACTTCGGCCAACATCCGCACAAGTTTAAATCCGTGCGGGGTAAACTGACATTGGCAATCCCGAAGGAAAGCATGGATTGGACGACCAGAATAGAAAGTAAAAGGACGCACCCAGCAAGTTCAACAGGCTAGGTGTTGGAGGTTTGAGTAGCCGAGCAGCCCCTCTACCCTCCCAAAACGTCGCGGCTGGAAAACCTCAAAGTTTCAACAGAAGCCTCGTGCTGACTTTTTGGGCTTGGGCTTTAGGTTGCCGTGACTCGTGAAGTGTAGTGTTTAGGTTTCAGGAAGTCCCCTAAACCCTAAACCGTTTAAACCCTGAACCCCAGAACTTGAGCTTGGTTTTGGTTTTGATCCCCGACTTGGGGCGCTCCAGGCGTTGGCTACAAACAGGGCTCTACTGGAGATGACAATGGATTTTCCCGTTTAGGGTGTCATTCGTATCCGGTCGGGCCCCCTTCTCCTGAAACCCTCCTGCGAGTTTGTTTCTTGAGCCGCCCACCAAATCCTTGAGAAAACCTGACTTGCATCTTATCACTCTTATAAGTGAGCCCAAACTCGACGCCCTAAGCCCCTAAACTTATGGTACGCAACAGTGGGAATCTAGGGTATGACGGAGGGTAGTTGGGGCTTGTCCGCAACCTACACCCCGGTGGGCAGCCCTGGACTACACTAAATCCCCAGCATATCTAACCCCTAAACCCTAAACCCTAGCATATCTAAGACCAGCGGCCACAAGTCTGCTCGAGATGAACGACGGGCATCTTGGCATTTGTACAGGGGATTGGGATTTAGGGTGCCGGGTTTAGAGTTTAGGGTTTAGGGTTTAGGGTTTAGGGTTTAGGGTTTAGGGTACAGGGCTTTGGGGTTGAGGGTGCAGGGTTTAGGGATGGTCTACTTGCTAAATATTGTCATGCCTGTGTACCAAAATGTGATAGAGCACTTCGGCGACCGCCATGACGACCAAGACAGCCACCAGGACCACAAGCACCCGAGCACCGAGAGACCACCATGTATGTGTGATAAGGGCTTCACCCTAATCCTAATCCCTAATCCTAATCCCAAATCCTAAACCCTAGTACCCACTCGCACTGAACGTCCTAGACTGAAGGCCTAAGCCAGTCGCGTTTAGGTGTGGGGGTTACGGGTTTAGGTTTGGGGTTTCGAAAGGTTTGTGGCCTAGGTCCTAGATATCCTAACCCGATCAGGGCTTAGGGTTCAGACCTCCTCTCCAAAATCCACACCTTGGGACCCTGAACCCTAAACCCTAAACCCGAACCCCTAAACCCTAAATCCTTAACTCAAACCCCTAAACCCTAAACCCCACCCAACCCTAAGCCCTGGGGTGTAGGGTTTTGGAATCGCGTTCGGTTCCCTCGCCAGCAGCCAACCCTCGAGCTTGGCGTTGTCCTCGGCCCTAAGCTTTGTGTTCTTCTGGTTGGCTCTTCTATAAACCCTAATTTCAAATCCTAAACCCTAAGCCCCAAACCTCGGGGTCGGAGGTTTGCAGCTAAGGAGCTAGACGGCAAGGCTAAGGATGACGGTTTAGGATCCCTACTAAACCCTAAACTGTCTGGTGCTTAGTAGGGAATGGGGGAATGGGTTATATGGACTACTATAAGGGACCTTAAGGGACTATCAAAGGGATCCATTCCCCCATTCCCTACTAAGCACCAGACAGTCTTAGGACTTTAACTTTTTGGGTTTCCATATGAGCGACAATAAGGAGGCTCAAAGTTAAAGTTTCAGGAGGGGTTCAGAAGTCAGCCAAGTAAGCGTCCTCAAAACACCCTTCCATTGTACCTTCAGGGATTCAGTGGCGGAATCCGTGCTAGGGGTTTAGGGTTCAGGGTTTAGGTTTTTACGTTCAACTGTTTCTTGGCTTTCTCGGGAAGTGGGGAAGTATTTTTCAGAGTCGGATGACAGGGCGGGTTCAGGGTTGGCGGTCTGGGATTTTGTT